TCCCGGCACGCTCCGTTGAAGATTAGCCTGGCACCGCAGCAAAGCTGCCTCCATCCTAAGAGTCTGAGCGCTGCAAGTCCTCCTCCAGGATGAGGTAGCTCTGCTAAGGAAAAGCAAAGAGCGATGCCTTCGCAACCGTTTTGTTTGCACGGGGTCCCCCCTTGGTTTGATACATCCCAGGCAGAGAAGAGCAGTGAGGAGTACGTTGCCACACAGCAACCTCCAAGCTGGAAAAACCAGCGCTGGGTTTTGTACATGTCTGTATTAAATTAAAGCCAAGCCTTTTCTGCTGGGCTGTACGATAATAAATGGCTCCGAAACACAGGTGAGGTCCAGGAGCAGCAGCGGGCACCGAGGAGGCTTGATAAGCACGTTCGGTCACGGTCTTACATGTTTCATGCAGTTGCTCCTTCGCGTGTGGTTTGGCACCGCAAGCGCTCAGCCGTCCTCCTGCAGAGCTCTGGGACCTTGCACATGTTAAAGCGTAGTTGTTGTGGTTTTGGGTTTGTTGGTTTTTGGTTTTTTTCTGGCTGGAAAGGAAACAGCAAAGGTTTAAGAAAGTTCCACCAAAACATAAAGTTTCCACGGAGCAGCATTTGCCTCCCTCGGTGAAGAAGTGATTGGTGCTGGTAACTGCAGCCCTGTAGAGCTGTGACAATTTAGGAGGTTCATTGAGGGATCCGAAACAAGACCGAGGCTCTGAAAAATTCAATTCCAAGGTTGCTATTTAGCATAAAAATAGCACAATCCCTCAAATGCTCTAAACGATGAGTTTTTAAAACCCATTTTAAACAAACATGTGCAAAGAGTAATTTTACTCCCTCAGATCGTGCAGCGCACTCCTGCAGTGATTATGCAGGGCTATCTTCTGGTTTGGCTTTTGTCACTCGCCTTTAACAATAAGGAAATTCTAATAACGTTATGCTTATAATTAAGGCAACTCTAATGGGATTTTGCGGACTGTGATTGGCATCCCAAGTACAGCATCAGACAGAAGGGGGAATGTGCAAGGGACAAATCTCCAGGACACCTTCAGAATTAGCAACCATTTGGGTAATTATAAAGCTCCATTTCATAAAGAACTAGGAAACGAGATTAATTTATAAATCGGTTTATTTACAGATTTTGTTCTCTTAAAGTACATTTCAGTTACCAAACATATTTACACTGGTGTACACAGGGACCACCCTGTATTTTACAGCTCTTAATTACAAAAAAACCCCAACCCTCCACATCCTTGGGCCTGTCTACTGTGCAAAGCTGCTCTGGATGTGAATGTTAGCTGAAACTGGCCCAAAAACCCAAGTTAGCAGGTTATTTACACACACAGAGTAATCGGGGTTCTTTTCACCATCTCCACAACACAGTACATGGGGAGACAGAGCCTCCCAAAAGGCGGCTTTGCAAACGTGTATCAAAAGGCTCTGCAAAGTCAAGGAAAAAACTAGTAAATGCAGGTTAATTACAGTATTCCTCTTTCATCTGTATATAATTTTGCATTTAACGTTTAAATAACAAGTAAGTTCAATAGTTTGCTTTTCCCCATTTTAGATTTGTAAACACTTCAGATGCACTAAATACCTTGTAAGATTCGACTGTTTCTCTGTTGAAAAGTACTTTATTTTCCTAATATTCCTAAGGTAGCAAAGGGATACGGAAGTCGGAACTGCAGGCAGTTCCTCACAGAATAGTCACTTAAAAGGTCTCTGTTACTGTGCTACTGAAGTTCTTCTGCAGGTACACACTTATTCAAGTATTGCAAAAAGCTAAGGCCACTTCTTCAAGAAAGGAAAATGAACAAGACGGGGTTTTTCTATCATCCCACTTTGTGAGCGACAAGCCTTTTCTGAAAGGCGTTAAGTACTGATATGTCACAACTCGGCTACGGGAGCTGCAAGAGGTACTTGTGCTCCTTGTCCTCACCAGCCTGGGCTTTCCCACCTGGCCCTGACATCCTTCCCAAGAGGGACCCGCATCTCCCCAGCGGTGACAGCCGCCACCTCAAACACCTTACGGGTCTCGGAAGAACGTCTCGGCCTTGAATCTTCTCACGCGGTTGCATCAAGACAACCAGGACCCAGAAATATCGTCTTGTTCTTATAATGGGAAGCTTGGGGAGAGGGGAGAAACAGAGAACTTGGCCTCTGTTTTCAGGCTTCCCCGTACCTCCTCGCTACCAGCCGCGACCCAGACAGACCGTTGCTTCATCGCAGTAATCATCAGTCCACAAGCACTCAACACACTCGAGGTTTTGAATGTACACTCAACGCAAAGTAACTCATTGAGAGGTATTGAGAAGGTAATTTGCGTACGTTCAAGTCTTTTTAGGGTTGTTCCTAGCAAGGATTGCTACCGGAAATGAACAGTGATGTTTGCGAACGGATAAAGCCATTACTTAGACACAGATTCTTTCTGACCAAACAGCTGTAAAAATAGTTCCTACTTCTGCTGAGGGTATTAAACTGGTGCTGTCCAAAGCCATACGATCTCCGACGGTCCCTGGTACCTCAGCGGGCCGACTGTACGACCTCCTCCCCGATGCCCAACAGACCAGAAAACCCCCACAGGACAGCCGAAAAACGCAGGGCAACCTTCTCAACGCTGGCCATGGGATCTACGAAACAGGAACCAACTTCGTTTCTCTGATATTCCAGCTACAAAGCTACGCTGCAGGTTTCTGCCTTCTCTCTGTAATTGCTACCTATAAAAATAGCAACCCTCACTATTGAAGCAGATACACCCAGGAAAGGGAATCTGAGGCGGTGAGCCAACCAGTGACACCACGCCGGTTAAACGTTGCAGCTTTTAGTTTGCTTCTGTCTCAAGCGTTCAAGAGTTTCCCGGTTCGGCATCGTGACATTTCACGTGGAAAAGTGAATCGCTTAGGAAAAAAGCTGAAAAATGCTCCACTGAGACCACCTGACTTCCAGTCAGCCAGAAGGGCCACGACTGCGGGACAGAGACGTGCATGCCTGTTGGAGGTGTCCCTCTCTACGCCACCTACCTCCTTCTTGTTCTTCCATACGTTAAGCTCCCATGAATATGGCTCACCAGTAACTCACAAGTGAGGTGCTGGCAATACTACGTCTGAGAATCTGCGCGGACTTCTGACAAATCCAACGCTTCCCAGTGCTGTCCCTGAAGAATTACCAGCCGTGCGTCATTGTGCAAAATGCAAATATTCCAACGACAGCTTTCCAAACACCCAAACAAAAAAACAAGGTGGAAAAAAGAACACAAAACAGAGCAGTAGCAGAGGTATGCATAGCAGGAAGCCCAAGAACAAAGCAGATGAAGGAAACGGTAGAGATCTCCTGGCCACACCTACTGTGGGCTACAGCAGCTTTGGGGCACCTCTGAGGGCTTCCAAGTGTCTTTCTGCTCTCCCATGTGGCTGGAGAATCTGATTCTCCTCTGGGTCTTGTCCCAGGGTAGCAAACAGGGACATACACTATTAAGGCATCAACGTTCAACCCCAGACTGTTTGTGTTCCTCCAAGAGAAACACAAAACTGGGAGAGACAGGGTAGGGATGAGCAGCTCAGCAGAAGGACATTTCAGTTGAACTCAGCACCAGATCAACCACGTAACAGCTGCCTATGGCCTACAAGTTCTGGGAAAGGAAGGGAATAGATGGAGCAGGGAAGTTTCACATCATTTTTCAGTTCAGTCCCCTCAACAATTCCCACTGTCTCCAAACCAGGTATGGTGAAGCTCCGTTCCTAGCCCTGCCTTTGCATCCCACCCTTGGTCACTGAAGTTTGGTGGTTCTTACCTTTCCCCTTCCCGTATATGCCTCAAGAAGCTGAAGGTTTTATGTGAAGAATATGAGGCTCTAGAAGTTTCCAGAACAGATGCTTTCTCAAGTTGAGCTGTCTCAAAATATAAGACAGTGCAGCCAACTGCACAGGACACTCTCCTATAACCCCCTTAATAAATTATCCAAAAATAAATAAAAAACCCACAAGCACAAAACATGCAGACAGTCAAGCAGGGGACACCGTTTTCTTTGGTGAATACACTCTGTTCTCTGAACTGTTCAAGTAACAGCTTCTCCGATTTATTAGGTGACAGTAAGGGAGGAAGCTGAGGAGGGATCGAAGGCCAAATTTTTGTGAGGAAACGTTTCCCACTCCTGCATGTCTCGTGCCTGAGAAAATCCTGAGTATCCATGATGTGGGAGCAGCTGGTGCTCCAGGAAGAGAAGAAGTGCTACACGGTAGAAGGAAAGTTGTCCATGGGCTCATCTCTCATGCTTAACATTAGGCGGCCTTTATCGTGCTCCACCTCAGGCCTGAAGCAAGTTACATAGGAAAAGCCGCGATAATTCTTTACTTGAATGCAGAAAGCAACACCGTCTAATTTCCCTGGACTGGCTGGCACCACACCGGGTACCACATCACAGAAGAAAGATGAAAACCAACTTGTCACAGAGAAGGGAATTAAATGGGCTCTGGAGCAGAAGAAACCGATGCACATTGTTAGGGCTGCAGGAGAAGAGGCGTTAAGGTTATAACACCATTCAGTACAGTAAGTCTCCATTTACGGCTAAAACCTGACCAAACTGTTTCTTCTCCAAAGTACTCACATTTCTAAAGACAGGGTTGAGTCCTGCCGGCTGACAGCCACGCCAGCAGCACAGCCGATATCCCAACTCAACCCAAGCCTTTCAGAGAACCAGCTGAACACGCCAGAGCCCCAGGTCGGGGCCCCAGACAGCTGCTGACAGTTATGTGGCATAAGTGCCCTGGCACACGAACACTCTTGAGCATCCCACAGCACAGCCTCAAGCGAGGGATCGGCTTTGTTCCAAACAGTAAATCCGGTGCAAGGTCTCTAGAGGCAGTGGGTGCAAATTCAGGTTCCTTTCATCCCATCTGAACTGCCTTTAAACCCCACGCGTGGAAGGAAGTCCAGCAGCAGCGTTGGCAGGGCGCAGAGTACGTCAGGAGTCAGAAGGGCCCGTGAGGCGGTGGTTACGCAGCTCTATTTTCGGCACTGTCAGACAAGCAGCAGTCTCCGCTGTTTCTCATTTATCTGGTTCAGTACGTCAACAGTGTCTCTGATTAAGGCCTCGAAGATCCCATCTGCCAACTGCATCTTTACACACAGTTCGTCCTCGTCGTAGTTCACCCACTGCGCTTCTTCCTCGTGAAGTTCCTGCACCTTGGAGGGTAGAAAGGAAAAGGCAATGCAAACGTTACAAACCTGTTGCTCTAGGAAAATATCCCCTGCAGAGTTCCAGAAAGAGTCCAAAACAGTGTGCATCTGCCAAAGACGTATCTGTCTCTGTAAGAGATTACAGGAAGCGCTTGGAATAGCAAAACAAGCGCAGATTATTTGAATCAGGCTATTACACTGTGTGAACATTTTCTACCTTTCACTGTAGTACCCATCATTAAAGAATTTCATATTCTTGCAGAAGTTTTTCACTTGAAAGACCTCAGCTAATGGGATATTCTTGGCCAGCAGGAGAAGCCCCATTAAAAATTCCCTAATTGCGTTTTTGCAAGAAGCTGACTCCAAGCGGCTTAAACTGGTGAGAAATTGCACAAAGACCTCAAAGAGGGGAAGGAGATGAAGAAAAGACTTTACTGCAGTTCAGTTCATTTGACTAAGAATTACCAAAACCTAAAGGAAACAACTAACTTTTCCAATTCTTCTGTATAGGAAGGCAAAATGCTGGCATGGGTTATACGACAGCATTGCAACTCATTTGCTCAGAACACTCCAAGCTTTGTTGGATTAGAGAGCATTATTATAGATGAAATTTTGTACTACTACTTCTAAAAAAGTGTTAATTTCCTTCTATTTCTAAACCGTTGACAAGCAAAATCCAGTCTTACTGGTCACTGGTTTCTGTTTTAGTACCAGACCGAAATATATAATTTCATTTGGCTAATCAGTTCTTACTGAGAGTCTTTCCAAACGGACACCTCCAACTGAATTTACTAAAAATTTGTCTTAAGTGACCATTTCAGTATTACAGACACATCCTAACAAAGGTCAGACTTTTGAGAAAAGAAAAAGTGGGTGCAAACAGCACTCATATTTAAAATGACAAATAAAACAAAGAGCCGAAAGCTCTTTGCCCTCAGTTTGAGCAGAAAGCTCCTCTGACTGTAAATCCTACACTCTGAACTGAAAATACATTTACACTGTTCACAGAGACAAGGGGGTCAGACGCCTAGACACTGCCAAAACAAGGTTAAAACACCCTGAAAATTCACTAATCCGGTATCAGTATGTAATAGCGTCGTTATCTGAAGAGCTACAGCCCCAATATCTTCTCTTCCCACGTTTCGCCTGAAGCTAAACCGCCCAGAAATCTGTTTTGAAGGGGACAGCTGCTGCAGCACAATGACCATTCCACAACCCAAACGCCTTGTGAAGCCCAGGAACAGGCTGCTGTGGGAAGCCCAGGGAACCGGCACTGCCTCAGCGTTCGTTCACAAGGCTTTGGCTGCACGTGGGGTTTCAGTCCGACGGCTCCTTTCTCCCTGGGGAGAGGGACAGGGCTTTCCTCCTGCAAACAGCTCTGGAAGAGCCTTGCACATCTCTGCGCTACCATGGCGAGCACACCTCTTCTGGGAGGCCCTCCTACCCCTGCCAAAGACGAGGTGTTCATGGTTTCATCGGGCTTCCTACCAACAAGGAAGAAGCAGCAACATTAGCAATCAAACTCTGGACGAATATTGCAGGTGAAAAATAATTGGAATGCTAACAAGGGACAGATAATTTGTGTGGGGGTGAATGCCTGAAACAGATTTCTGAACTCTCAAGCAGAAATTTGCTGTCTGCAGCTTGTATGTTCAAATTTTGATAAACCCTGAAATAAACGATGGCAGCATGTCCCTAGTCCTCCCGTCAATAAAGAAGCACCAATGTGGAGGCTGACCCTTTGCTGTGTGCCAGCATCACGGACTATTTAGATGAGGAAAAGCAAGAGACGAGGGTCACATAAAGAAGATGTGGCGCCAAAAAGGAAGAAGGGTTCCCAAAAAGCAGAAGCGCTCTGGGAAAGAAAACAGGGTCCCCAATGAGATAAGGTGAAGACCCTGGCTGGAGAGAAGATCCTGGAAATGGGGGAAGATCCTGCAGGTGAAGGATGTGGGTGGAGGCAGGTGCCAGGGGGTGCCCAGGGACCCTGACCGATGACATCCAGGATTGGTAACTGGGAGTAGCTGCACAAACCCAACTAATACGACTTTCTGCCCAACCCTCCCAGGCCAGCAGCGACCTCCCTGATGGGAAGCGAGGTCAAGACCTGGCGAACGTAACACTGGGGTGAGGAGAAGCAAGTGAGTAAAACGATCAAGCAGGTTAAAACCGCTGCTCTCACCAGCCCTTAAACAAACCCCAGTATCCAGATCCACGATAAGCTGCTGTTTATTGTCTCACCTGCAATGACATCATGGGACAGTTCCTTTACTGTGTTCCAGGAAATAAAGAGGTAAATAAATGTAAGTAAATGGAGAAGGTAACTTGATCCAGGCAGAGAGAGGCTGGATGTCACACAGCAGTGGAAAGATGAAGAAAGAAAGGCAGTATTAGTGATTAATTTTCTCTTGCCTCTACCATTCCAGTCTTCCTCAGAGGCACGGTGCACAATTTCCTTTGGCATTAGGAGGATTTCCTCAACCGTACTTTTGGAAAACTAAGGGAATGTGCAATTTGCAGCTGCAGGCAAGTCTTGTTTATAGCATATTCAGAACACGTGTGGAAACTGCCGCACTGCTTTCCAGCCCTGGCTGCAGGCCTCTGAGCCAAGGCAGTTGCGACTCCTTTGTCTGGGAAATGTTTGATCTATTTATTGTATTATTACAAACTGCCGAAAGTAGGACAGCGAGTATCGTGGCCTTCATGGGAGTGGGCTTCGGTACATGCACAGCATTTCACTTCTTGTACACCCTCATGACAAAAGTAAACCTTCACGTATTTGATAAGTTCTCTCGAGCAGAGAGAAGCTGCGTTTGGGCCAAGCCAGGAGAACAGTTTTAGTGCAACTGAATTCCATCCTACAGGAAAAGATAAATAGTGACACAGTCCAGAAGGCTGCATGGTAGTTTTTTTGTGTGTGCTGTTTTTTGTATGCACAGGTTTTTTGTTTTGGAGGTTTTTTTTAAACACAAAGAAAGAAGGGGGCATGCACGCAAAAGAAAAATCAGGAGGTAACAAGGCAGTGTGATCCTGCTGGCCGTCTGAGTAATGTCACAGCACTCAAACCCAATGCTTAAGATAAAAGAACCTGAAGGAAACTTCACAGAGCAAGTAAGGAAGTTTTGATTTCTGGAGGTTCCCATTCAAAACTGTGAATATCTGCAAAATAATCTACATTTAAGGAGGTACTAGATCACTTGGGAGAGCAAAAGGAATAAAAATCCACATATAAACCAGTGCCTTAAAAGAATGCCAGCAGGAAGAAGGCAGGCAGGTGCATTCTTCACACTCAGAGTCCCTGGAAAAATCTCGTACAGGTGACTGTGCACACGAGCAGGCTTTGATTCTCTCCTTAGTGTTGCACTGCCCTCGGGTTTAGATCTCTGGTGCCACAGGAGAGGGCTTTCTGATCAAGCCAGCTTGACAGGAACAGCTTTGCTTTGTGGCAGAGTTTCTGCATGGAGGGAAACATTCTACCCGTTAAGTCAACAGGTCAGAAGATCAAGTACTCTTCAGCAGCGGTTGGCAGGCTTCTCAGGTGTGAAAACTAAACACATAGGTTTGGCAGTATCACATGAGCTTTGCTTTCTTGGGCTCAAGTTAAAAGGGAAGGGGGGTGGCAGGGAAAGCAATGGCAGAGTTTGTTCTAGGCCCATGTAAACAGAACAGAACGGGGAGTTTTGGCTGAAGACTCAAGTGGAAAGAAAGGGGGAAAAAGAAAGAAAGAAAAAAAAAAGAGTGTAAACAGTCTATTGTTAGCATCTGAACTTAAATAAGGAGATAGGAGGGTTCTTGCTGTAGTTTAAAGAGAGGATTTGATGTATCAAAATGCAGTGCCTCAGCCTACATGTATGTTTTGAGAATCTCCTGTAAAGCACAGAGAGCACACACGTGATTAAGGTGGCAACAGGGACATGAGAAGAAGAAGAAAGCAAACATCTAAACATTCCTTTAACTTGATTTTAAACAAAGTAGATTTGGGTAAAGGTGAGCCTCTCATACTTGTTTACTGAAAGCCAAGATTTGCTGTAAACGTCAGTGACTGAAGTAACTATCCAGCAGATCAGAGAGATCTCTTAACAAATCCCAGTACAAATGCTTTCTGAGGACTGAAATGACTGATCAAAGTTAACAGTGCTGCTCTAAAGAGAAGAGGAAGACGCTTATTTCGTCAGTGGCAGAGAAACACGGCTGGCTACACTGCAGTCACTGCTGGAAAAGCGCAGACGAAAAACAAACTGCAGCTGAAGGAGCAGTGACTGCAGGAGGTAGCAGAGATCAAGGCAGAGCAAGAAGGCACAGGACTAATCCATCCTGTTCTCCCCTTAATTTCCAGCGGGTGTGATGGCTGACCGGCGTCACCCACAGGATCCAGCATCACAGACAGCGCCAGCACAGCACAGGCTGCCCCTTCCCCCCACAGGACTGAACCCTTGGGGGAGACCCAGAACCACTGGGAAGTTGGTTTAGTATAATAAATCCAGAAGGATGCCCCCAGGGGTAATTAGGGAGAGCAGAATAGCTCGGCACTTGCTTCTGTGCCCTGTGAAGAAATAAAAGGAAATTCAGCAAACAGCCCTGGCTCCTGGTTTCAAAGCCACCTGACCACCCAGGCAGATGATGCCACTCTTTGACAGTCATCGCTAACACGCTGGAGAAGGCAGCATACGACAGGACCCCCTTCCTCTGCATCAAAAATCCTCTCACCCTTAGTCACGTCTAGTGCCTGGGTCAGACAGTACTGGGCAGTCAGAGTGTTCAATCCTCTCACCGAAGTCACTAAAAAGGCACAAGTTGTCTCAACAGAAAACTATCAAAGGGTGTTTACCTCTGAAGGTTAGTTTTAACTGAAGGGGAAATGAAGAAACTGGGAAGGACCTGTGCTCAAAGTTTCAATGCAAATAACAGATACCTAAGAATGTTTACTTTAAAAAGACCATGTTGCATTTTAACAGTCTCTGTCTTTTTAAGTAGCAAAAAAAAGGGTGGAGAATCAATCAGCTCGTCTATGTACTCACACGACATCCTCGCACGGTGCAGGAGGGGTCTATCGGCTAAATCTTCACAAAAGCTCAAACAACGCCGTTCAGATTGTGATTTCTAAACAAGCTTCTACAGCTCCTGAACCTACCAAAACAGTCTTGACTCATCTTTCAGGGAACTGCTGTGTTGTACTACTTGAATACACATAAAACAAAATCTGGAAAACTTCAAAACCGACCTCCCAGCTGAGGGCTGCCCCGTGAGTTCCTAGCGCACAGGCAGCAGACCCTGCACACACCTGTACATCCACTCACACCCTTGGATTTGCGTTTCCACAGAACTCATTACCTTGAGCGCACACTGGGGGCTGCCCAGGGCTCAGAGAAAGCTAGAGAAAGTAGCTAGAGAAAGCTACTTCAGGATGTACAGAGATTTTAATGAAACAAGGTAAGAGAAATGGAACTCTCTCTCCTTTGCTTTTCAGCTGGGAGTTTCTCTGATAGCGTCTCACCCTACAATACCAATTTGTTCGCAGTGCCGCTGAGACTGCCGGATTCCTAAAGCACAGCATGCTGCCACCTTCCCAGAGTCACACCCCGTCTAGAGCTAAAATGCTATTACCATACTCTTGCGAGAACAAAATAAAATTAACCACATTATTTATTAAGCCAAACTTGTCAGACCTCCATTAATCTTTGATGTCTGGGTCTGCATGTAAATTGCAGACCAGATCATCTGAACTTCAAACTTACTCCACCTAAAGCACTTTGGATGCCTTCAACTAGACCAATTTTTTCCAGTCAGGAATCTTTCTTTTTAGATACAGTTCAAAGACATTCGGAAATGGGTACATCAGTGTAATAGCTGTACTATTAATTCTCTCAGGGTTCTAAGCATAAGACTTTTTTTTGTGCATGCTTAAACAGCCTCCATATCTCAGAATCAAGTGTAGGTCCTATACATAGATATTCTATTTACACACAATTAAATCCCTGGGAAAAGCCTGTGTTAGAAACCTTCCACTGATGGGCAATTAAAAGACCACACAACCCATGACTTGAAGTTACTTATATCTGTGCATGTGTGGAATATACTTCAGGTGTAATTAAGCAAAGCCCAGTGTTAATGACAACTCCGATTCCCAAGCAGAACCTTGGCTATCATTACAGCCAATAAAGATGTTAATCACTCTGCAATACAAGCCAGTAAGTAACTTTCAAAAACTAGTACACAGCCAGACGTGCTCAGCCTTACGCCGTTTTAACATGGAGTGATCTCTGCCTCAGTGACAGCTGCAGTCAGGAGTTCATGTCAAGTATCACCAGAGCAGAAGTGCTGCTTGATGCTCAGGACAGGACAAGGGGAAATGGCCTCAAGTTGCGTCAGGGTAAGTTTAGATTGGATATTCGGAGGAAGTTCTGTACTGAACGAGTGGTGAGGCACTGGAACGGGCTGGCCAGGGAGGTGGTGGAGTCACCAACCCTGGAGGTGTTTAAAAAAAAAAGTAGATCTAGCACTTGAGGCTGTGGTGTAGTGGTTGGGTGTGCTGGGATGAAGGTTGGACTAGATGATCTTCAGAGGTCCCTTCCAACCCCTGACATTCTGTGATTCTGTGAAATGTTCAGCTGTGGGTACCACCTGTCAGACTGGGCACCTTGTATCAGGGACTATCACGTCCCACACCACCTCTTCGAAGGTTTTGCTGTTCTAACTCAATGACTTTTGCAACCTTCCAGTTGAATCGGGTTAGCAGTTTGGTCTCTTAAGCTCTCAGTATTCACTGGCTCCAGTTAATATTACTTCAAAATAAAAAACACCTGAAATGAAGGCACTGGACTTGTGTTTTGGTCAATGAGGTGCTCTCTAAAATGAAACACTTTCTATGGAGATCTCATGCACACTTTGTATTCTTCAACCAGCATGACTGAATACTGAAACACACAATCACATGTCACACTCCAGGCTGGTGGAGAGTATCTGACAGGATTGCTTATTTTCATCCACTGACCAGTATATGATCCACTCGGTCTCGTTTCTTCCGCCCAAATTTCATCATCTTCTGCCAGTCTGTTTTGTGATTCGGCTCCTTCCTTAGGCTGAACAACTTCAGTACTTCAGCTGCAATGAAGCTCTACAGAACAGTAAAGGCAAGACGTAGCATATTTGAGCTAAGAAGTAAACATATGCACAAAGCACCCACCCTAAATAGTCACATTATAAAACGCATCGTGGTTTTCTGTTCAGCGAAGAGACAGATGGTGTATGCATGACATTTACAGTGGAAGTCTTTAAGGCAGCGTTACAGGAGCAGAACAATCATTACATTTGGAAGTGGGGGGAAAAAAAATAACAGGCACCGCATCACAATCTTGAGAACAGAAACTTTCAGTTAAACAGTACAGCAAACAGGAGATTACGACAATTTATTTTATGGCAGAATATTAAAGGAAAAGCAGGGTGGGACTTTGGTGTCCCTGTCCCGTGGACCTGCTCTCCCTGACGCATGTTTTTTGAAAGTCATCTCAGCTAACAGTGATCTAGATACTAATTCTGTCTTTTCTAGACAGTGAACATGCTGTATCTTCAAGCAGGTTAACCAAAATAGTCACCACTCCCTCCCCCCCCCCCCCCAGCTCTCAAACACCCCCCCCCCCCCGCCAAATTTTAGAAGAAACAGTATAGGTGAAAGTCTCAATTTGTGTCCTGATGAGCTGTGTGAAAGGTTCTTTGTTCAGGGCTTTCAGACAGATAGTTTGGTTTGGTTGAAGTCCAAATGTCCAGCTCTGCAAAGTTAAAGTTAACCTAGATCCAGTCAGACTCTAGTTTCTGGGGACTTGTCCTTTCTTGAGCACTACTGCCAGTAACAGGAGACCTACCAAATACAGCAATGCAGGCAAATTTTGGGTCCCTCTGGGCAACTCCCACTGTCCTCAGTGAGGCTGGCACAGGTGTGTCTGAAGAAAAAAATGCATTTGGCCCAGCCCTACCGTTGGATCTCTGCCAACACACCCCCACAGAGTGCTGCTGAAACGTGCCCCAGCAGCAGTCTGTCACCATACCCATTTTCTACCAGGAGGGTCATCCCGGCAGTTCGGCACAGAGCACTAAAGTTTAAGAAGCAACCAGTGCCAGCAACCTGCCAGAAGGACAGGGAGGCAAATCTGTTGAGTAAAAAAAAAAAGGCATTTTGACAAACTCTCTTTAAGGTTTGTAATCTCATTTCCCAACTCATCTCTTGCTGGATACACCTGTTATTATCTTTTAACACTCAGGCAAGTGCCAGCACAGTATTCTTCATCTCATTTTCCCTGCATGACAAAGATTTCTTCCTACCTTGATTTCATCCAGATCATTTGGATCTTTTACTCGGCGAAAGTAAGCAGATGCGATCCTACACGGTTTCATCCAAATAGGCTGGTTTAGATTAGGATCCTCAGCAAAGATTTCCCCGAAGATCTCTCTTGTTAAATCAAATACCACCTTAACAAAGAAAGAAGTAGAAGTTAAGGCCGCAGTTGTTCAAAGGGCAAGAAGAAAATGCCTGAAGACTGTACCTTTTTATAAACTTGCTTGTTTATTGTGTCTGTGTCCTGCTCTTTGAGGGCACTGCTCAGATCTGTATGAAGGCTGTAATTCTGAAGATCCTGACCCAGCTCTTTCAGTTTCCAGAGTTCCTCAGCAGCTGCGTGCACCATACCTTCCACCTCCACGGCGCTATGAGGGACTGCCAGAGGCTCCCCACACGGCTTCGTCGGCACTTTCTGGGGCTCTACCTTGGGCAGCACTGCTGGTTCCTCCGCTTGCTTCTGCTGGACCTTACGGGAACTCAGGCCATAGTCCTCATCAAACCAGTCCTGATCATCTCCCAGCACACTCAGGAACTCCCGACTGAGCTCCAGCTCTGCCAGTCTCTTGGCAAGCTCTTCCTGACCACTGGCACCAAACACCGGACTCTCCTGTGAGTTAAGAGTCACAGAGTAAACGTAAAAGCCGTGTCATACTGTTGTCTAACCCTGCTTACATTTTTAAATGCTCTACTGATGTAGTTGGCAGTATATGCACAAATACTCAGAAAAATCATAAATAGCCCACAGCAAAACTAGGAACATTTAGATTATTTCCTGTCAAGAATAAAGAGGTAAGTTTACAGTCTATTGTGTTTTGCTATTTTTAGAATAAAAACTGAGGGCAAGGATTACATACGAATTGAACATGCAAGCAGAATGCAACCTTAATGAAGCATTTTTCACTTTCATGTGCCAAAATGTGTCTTTCAGCCTGCAGGGCTACTGAAACGAGCCATGAACTGGGATAACACATGAATACACATGAAAGACATATATACAGGAAATCTCCAAATCATCAGACAGAACTTGAGAGAAAACAAACTGGTGCCACACTGCCTTCCTCACATTCAATCATCATCGGTCAAAGAAACAACTGATGCTTAAAATTAGTGCGAGATGTCTGTTACTCACTGGTCTGGGACACATGTCTGGTGAGGAAAGTTCTTCTCTTTCATCTTCCAAATCAGAACTTAGGAAAAAGTTATTCAGTCCATCGGGAATCCGTTTTTCTACCTGCAGGGATGGAGTATCAGATTCCTCCTTCCCATCACAGAGTTCCTGGTTGCTGAGTTGGATTTTCTCATTCCTGACCTTCTTTATTTGCTGCAGCTGACTGACGGTGTCTTTCACAAAATCTCTAAGCAGACTGTCTGTCAGCAAGCTGACCTTCTCCAGTTGGTCTTTTGACTTTTCTTCCTCTCTAAGCGGTAGTCTAAGCTGAGCTTCTAACTGGTTCTTTTCTTTTGTCAGCAAATCCAGAAGTGGAGTTGCAGGCTTCTCCACAACTCCAGGAGAGAGATCATCCAACTTTTCATCACATTCTTCCCCCAATGTCTTCTGCCTCTCCAGTTTTTCAGAAAGGAAATCTGAGATGTCATCCAACTGAACAGCAGAAATCTCATCCGCAACACCAGAAAAGCTGGCCTCCTCTTTCACAGCATCCTTCAGATAATCCACCACTGACTGTTCTTGGGCAAGCGACTCAGTAGCTACAGAAATCTCCTTCATGCTGTTGGGTTTAGAAGAAAACTCCTCATCAACCCTTTCTTCAGCAGAGGCTTCTGAAACAGCTGTTTCTGCAGGAGCTTTATCCTGGGAATAATTCTCTGTTGCCTCTCTGCTCTGGCTTTCATCATCTTTGCTAGGTTTGGAACTTCCTCTGTTTTTCTCCCTAGGTTTGTGTTGCTTCTCCAGTCTATCATCAAAGAATGAGTCTTCATCCTCATTTGTGTCTAAATGGCTATCAATACTTTCCGTAATGTGAGAGATTTTTTGAGGAGGAGCAAAAATACCATGCTTTTCTTTGCAATCGAAATATTTAATACCATCGTAAGTTCCGTTATTGTTCCCTTCAGGTTTATCCAACTCCACGCCAGCCCAAAACCCTTTGGCAAACTTAGTCAGACCTTTGAATCGCAATGTTCCGGGCTGGACTTGACTCACAAGTACCCTATCACCAATGTTGAAATTTGGCAAGCCATCCGTTTCTTCTCGGATTGAAACAGAAGCCCACAGCGGTGATTCCGCAGGAGCCCGGTTTTGCTCCACGTCTCTGTGTTCAGTCTTTTTCATAAGTTCTGTCGGGGACTTCAGTTCTAATAGCCTCTCTGAAGGCACGCTGCCAGAGAGGGAGAGAGACCTGTCACTGAGCCATTCACTGAGTTCGCCATCACTGCCAAGGCTGGTGGATCTGCTTCTGCTGGTCTGTGTGTGCTGTGACCAAGCATCCCCACTAGGAGAGAGAAGAGATGCTTCAAAGTCATCTTTGTAGCGTTCCCCGGAGAGCGTTTCCTCAACTGATGCCTGTTTTCTGGAAGAGGATCCTTCAAAGTCTTCAAGGTATGATGGCTCCTTTTGACTAAGGAGTTGTTCTGGAAGCAGACAGCCTTTGGGCTCTGCTGATTCGCTTAGTTTGTGAGAAGGCTCTCCTACACTTGGGCCAGTTATAGCATCTTTATCTGTCAGTATCCCTTCTAAGACTTCTTCCGTACAACGAAGACTTTTCACAGACAGATCAACGAGGTCTTTCTGAGAAGAGTGTTCATGTTCAGAATGGAGGACTTTCTTTGGAAGGATGTCCAGTGAGCTCTCCTGTTCTTTATCTAGTGTCAACAAGACATCAGAACTCTCCAAAGGCTTAACACGAGAATCTTCAATCTCATACTCCTCTGACTTCATGTATTCCAAGTCTTCTTCTATCTCAGCCTCATCACTGGACACTTTTACCACATTGTTCATTGACCCATGGGTTATCCTGCCAGTGTCTTCCACGTTTTTGAGAAGAGAGGATGAGGGGACGTTATCTAAGGAATCATCGGATCCTGCTCTGAAACTTCTTGGTGACATTAAGACAGAGGAAGATGTGCCAGAAGGTTCTTCTGCACTAACGTTTGTCACAGCCACCTTCTTGGTGTGCACAGACACGGATCTTTCAGTTCTTGATGACACTGCATCTCGAAGGAAAATAAAAAGTGAATTACAGGAGATCGTACAGCCTGCATTGTTTTATTGAGAACTGCAACCACAGGCAACAAAATCAGCATCAAGGTTGTCAGTGGGAAAAGCCCAAGGTAAGGGCTCAGTTATTTGTTTGCAAGCCACAAATACAACGATAATTGGAACGGCAGATAATGATTACGTAACTATCAACAGCAAAACATTGAAAAATACCTACAAAAACCTCAACAACCTGTTCCTAAATCTTTTTTAGTTTTGGTTTCCTTACTTTCCTCAGCTGTTAAAGGAAAACAAAAGAAGGGAAAAAGGTTGTCAAGTAATTCTGGTTTCACACAAACCTCAGCACAAATAAAACTAAATACTGAATATACAGGAAAGAGCAAAAGCAGAAGCCTACTAAATACAGTAAAAAATACAGCTCAATCATTATGGTTTTATGAAGTCTGTATGGTCTATTAAAACCCCTTCTTAAATCAATTAGGAAAAGAGTAAAGAAGTTTAAAACAGTCAGTCTTCAAGATCTTAATTAGTAGTACAGATTCTCCCGGTTACAAACCTGCATGCTCTGCAATGGATTCCAAAGATGCTCTGGATCGCTCCGATTCTGCCAGTGATTTCCAGTTTTTAGCCGTCTCAGGCCTAAATTTGGGAAAAAAAAGAAAAAAATCAAACTGCATAATCATGGTTACACCGGAGTGTGGTTTTTTGTGTTTTTTTTTTTTAATAGATAAAAATGGAAATACAAGCATCTAGAATTATAATACCACACTAATATTAACATAAACAGTTTGCATTGTCAACATATTGTCACCTTAGGAGACAGGAATGGGGACAGACAGGACAGTTTAGCTCATCCTAGAAAGTCATTTAGGAGACTAATCAAACTTGAGCCTTTTTTGCAGCCAAAAAGGAGGGGAAAAAAAAGAAACTTTTTTTCTTCAGTGCACTAAAATTGCACCATCTGCTGGAGAAAACAAAACGCTTAAAATTACAGCACAAAGCACAGAAATCAGCTGAATTATCTCCTTTTTAAAACCCAAGATCTAAACCAGATTTTAGTTGCAAAAAGTGAAAAGTTTGCCTCAGTGCATCGGGCATAACGAGTGACCAAAATGGGAAAAACCTCCTTAGTGACTGTAATCCATACAACCATCTGGCACAACTCTTGCACAACTGAGAATTTTTGTTTGGATAGAACTTTAAAATAGGACCTGAAAGGCTGAGCAGGACAAAAGTGAGATGCACACGTTTACAAGGAGAGTATATCTTATCTGGTTTGGGTCTGATGAGCTCAGCAAATAGGTGAGCAGGATACTGCAGCTCTCCAGCACTTTAAGGGAAGTAGTTACCAGCTTTCCTTGCGCTCACGGTTTCTTCTGAAACAGCATTCAATACACTTCTGGAATAATCTCAGAAAAGACGAAATTCCAGTTACCTATGGAGCGGTGGTGCCTTGATCTTCGGTTTTTCAGCAGCAGCTGAGGATGGAGTTTTAATCTGAGGTTTGGCTGTTGGTGATGCCTCCAGATCCTGGCTCAGCTCTGCCTCAGTCTTCTTGATAAACTCGTCATACGACTGCACATGGAAAACAGTTACGGCTGTTAGCCTACTGAACTATAACTACAATTCAGCAATCAACAGCTATTAAATGAATAAAGGGTACTCAGTTTCTCTGTAAAACAATCCATTCAACTTCCTAATGCTACACAGTTGTGAATCCTAGAAATTTTCATACTTGACTTTCAAAACCCAATGATATAAGCAGCGCTCTTTAATTCACGCTGGGATATATCAACATACCTAAGCCCCCTGAGCACTGCTAGTAACACAGTAAAGATACACATTTTTAAAAAGGAATGGCATTTTTGCCTCAAGGCTCTGGTTCGTTATTGAAAACAGTTAAATAGCCAGAACACAGTCACACTTCTATCACAATAATGTGTCTTTCACCGCTGTTGACACAATATTCTGCGAACGACATCCATACTATGATGATACTACTACGATTTATCCAAAGCTAGCAATCTTTTGCATTTTCCTTCCTCTAAGTATTCCTAACCTCTAGTTGTTTGATCAAACTGGCTTCCTGGGCCTTCAGTCTCTCCTTCTGTCTCTTTTTCTGTTCCTTTTTCAGCTGGTACACCACAGACTTTCTTTTCCGTAATTCATCCTTCAGGGCTCTGATCCGTCCTTCAATGTCACTTTGATCAGATGTGGTTTCTGAAAGAGTTTAGTTTTAATCTTTGTCAGCTTGCACCCCACAAAAGAGTTCTATGCAAAGCAATAAACAGTCATTTAGTAAATTCAAACTAGGATCCAAACTAAATATCAAAAAACTGAACGGCAACATGCTAATCTTAACATCACAAAACTCATAAAATGGGACCTGAGATTTGCAGCATTACTATACAGCATAGTATATTATTTAATTTAGAAGAGAAAGGCTCTGATACATACAGAAACGTGTTACCAAACCTGTTTGCATCAAGCACCATTTGCATGTTTATGCTGCTACCTCCTTAACTGCTCATCACGCCAGTTGTTGCAGAAATGATTTTTTTCCTGACATTTAAAAAAATACGACAACTCAAAGACGGATACCAAAAAATACACCTGAAATACTTCTTTACAAACACAATATATAGTTTCAAGCTACAGGGTACAATTCATTGATAAGAATTTCACTTGGAACAGCAGACTTCAAAAAAGTTTGGGTTTTTGGCCCATTTAGATTTTCTGCCACCTAGACTAAATAGATCTAGGAAATGAAGAGCTGACTGGTCAACATCTGGAAGGAAAGTCCATTTGACAGAGCAGACATTTTCACTATTGTCAGGCCTCAGGATGAGAATTTATTCAGGGGAATAAGGGTAGCTTTGACACGTGGTGGACTACCAGTAGTAGTTTATATAAAGCTACCTGGCGCATTTTTGCTTTGAGTTCAATCTTACAGATCCTTCTATGATGCCATTACTGACTGGAGCTATTTTCGACTCAATTTATTTCCTAATCATTATCCTTAATAATTTTAGTAAGACCTCCTCCATTCCTCTTCATGCCCAGAACTCCCTGCAATCTCATCTTCCAGTTCTTCTGAAGATGTTCTACCTCTTTTTCCCTCTCAGATCTCTCAGACCGCCTCAGTGGTTCATTCTTTTCTGCCCATCTGGTTACGTCCACTTATTTCTTGGCTTACACGTATACCACCAAACTGCAAAATAAGATCCTTGTCCCAGACTGGTGCTACCACAATTAAGCATCAACATCTCTTCAAAATATCTGACGCAGTCTCACTGAAGCCCCTCCCTGCAGCTAATGTCGCTACAGCTCCCAAGAGAAGGATCCTGGCTAGTTTGCTTTTCTAATGCTCAGTATTGCCTATAACATTTTCTGGACCAGAAGGCTTGGACGGTCATGAACGTCAACTGCTTTACTGAACATTTTAGGAAGTAACTCACCAGAATTGGTCAGCTAGCAGGAACAGTTGACATTTCGCTAACCAATCTCATTTCTTAAGACAACAAACCACCGTAACGAAGGATTTCATCATCAACAACAACTAGTAAATACAATTAAATTACTGTAATTCTTTTCCCATTAACAACTGTTAACCATTTAGAGAATTAAAAAAAAACCCAACAACCAACCTAGCACAAAAAAAAAAAGGAATCTTACTTGCTAATCAGAGAGTACTTAAAGATGTCACTGTAGTTAACAGCTCCTCCCGAACAGTAAGTGACCACTATGTAATTATAGCTTTTCTTGATCAACTCATAAGGGAAAGATCTGCACACGCTTTCATCTTTGACGATCCAGCCCATGCATGCATCACACCGACATGCAGTGACTTCATTACTACTCAGCAGCTTATAAGATTTGTCTCTACAATGGAATGATTTTATTGTGAAACCGGCACCATCCTCCTCGGCTTCCCACCTCTTACACGTTTCCTCAGCATTTGGAAGGAAGCAAAGGCTGCAAACACTTTATTTTACAGGAGTTTATTTTCATAACCAGTGTTGCCTGTTCTACTTTCCACAACGGGTTCTTTACGTGGTTGCTCAGTAAGAACTTGAAAATAACTTCATCGAGCTGCTGAATGCTTCACTGTGTTGCTAACTGCTGTCCAGACAGAGTCGCAATACAAATTACTCAGCGTAAATACCTCATTTCTCTATCCAGCAGGACAATTGCTGCCTCAAAATCACCGTGATTTTATTGCAACTAGATACATATTAACAACAACAAAAGCAAACAAACAAAAAACCACGAAAAAAATCTCAAGGGAAAAGGTTTTTAAGCTTGCTATATAGAGCACCACAAAGACTGGCTATGTATGCACAGCAGTAGTTATCACAAAGAACAGCGAGTACATACCAGAGAACCACCTACTACTTTTTTATTTTCCCCACTAATGATTTACTGACCATTTAGGGAATTAAAAAAAAAAAACAAGCAAGAAAGCGTTCCCTCATTTGCTAGCAGGTATTTTATGATATTTTATTACCCATGCTGTGGAATACAAGACGTTTCAGAGACTAAAAGCACAGAAAGGTTCAAACAGACTTGACGGTTTAACAGAGCTGGGGACGGTGACCCACCGGACGGTGGCTCAGGAAGCTCTGGAATGCACCTGACTAACGGGCTGTCAGCGCACACCAGGGAAAGGACTACTCAGGTCACTCCCAGTATTCTCTCCCTCAGCATTTACTGGTAGCCAGCTTGGATACTGGATAAAAGGCTAAAAATGTCCGTATAGTACATCCGGCGGTTTTTAGCTCAAGATGCAGTTTTGGGCCTTATTCTACTGCACACAGGTCAAACCCTCCTCCAGAAACAAAAGTCCTGAAGTACCCATTCACTCTGCAGACACCAGTGCAGGCCCGATGGGCTCACTCACGCTGCCCTCACAGAGTGATTCTGCTTCTGGAGCCAGGCTGTGCTCAGGAGGAGGACGATCACATGTGTATGCTGCTGAACCATATTCTGCTTTCTTACAACACGAGGGGTGAAGTGGCATCACCAGCTAAACAAACAGCTAACTTTGCTATTTTTAACTTAACTATTGACTCTCAACTTGTTCGTATCTCTTTGCAGGATCCTGCGGTGCTTTCTAAACGAAAAGATAACGTCCAGACCTTCTTACCTTAAGACCCTCTTAAGCTGCAGAGTTCAAAATACTCCCCTCAAAACCCCAAACCTTGGCAGCTCCGAGGAGTTTCTGTCTTCCTCCCCACACCCTTGTCTGTGTTTCGAGTTTACCCAATAAAAGCAAAAGCTTTGAAAAAAAGCAGTTTAAACCTAAGCAGATATTACACTTACCTGACTGTGTCACAGACAAAGATTCATCAGACCAGTTGCGAGATATCTGATGAGACTTCACAGGTGAACGCAGCTGTCCTCCACTTCTATGGCTGCCTCGGCTGGAATCTTGCTTTGATACAGATATGCTGCTTTTGGGAGGAGACTAAGGGAGGAGAAAAGGACAAATAAGTAATTGCTTGTAAAGCTCAGTTTGAAAGTAGGAGGTGATTATCACCAGGCATTAGTTATGAGGAAAGAACAACATGACTAGAGAACATCTCATAAGCAGTGGTACGTCTCCAGCTATCGTAAGAAGAATTTAATCTTAGTTTGTTAGACAAAAAAACCCCAAAAATACCAGGAGCAGCAAGAGCTGCCTGCTTACTTTGAGCCTAGATTTCAGTAAACCTGCTTAAACTACCCTGAGCACCAAAGCGAATTGGCACAGTTCTGACTCACAGGTGTTCAATACAGTTCATGTAATCTTACTTGGTAACAACCACGGCCCCAGGAACTCCTTGTAACTATCCTGTGAAATCAGAAGGAACACTTCATGGGAAGGATGCAAGATGACGTTCTCAATCAGTAAAATAACTGAGCACTATTGCTCTGAGGGCAGGCAAAAAAAAATGTAAGTGCAAATATTCTTCCAAAATGCTGCTTACAGCTTCAACATTACACCACAAACCTTTCACACACACCGCTGAACACAACTTCTGCCCCTCTGGCACATATTAGACGTTTTACCTGTCTTCTCAGCAAACTTTCCAAGCAAGTATTTGCAATAAGTCTAGATGAACAGTTCTTTTACCCTACACAGACTGTATTTTTTGCCTCATTGAGTCCAGGGCAAAAGTTATCAGGATGAAACTGAACAAAATTATCAACCAAGCAGAAATAACAGCCAGAATAGAACAATAAGGCAGAACTAGCTAGCGAGTGGACACAATCAGAAACCCAAAGGGTTGTGCACGAGGTTACAGCTCGGCTTCTTCATTCCGAAGCTGCACTTTGGGATACATTACTTGCAACTAAAGCAAAGCAGAAAACCAGAGCACAGTTTCTATGGCCTCAAAGAATTCACAGAATGGGAACAAGCTAGCCTACGGCTAATTCACACTGGTGAACTGGGTCAGTGTTCCGCCACTTCACCCTGCATATGTACACGACATACGCAAAACATTTTGCAAGACTACTGACAGGCTTAAATGTATCCACACTCTGTGCTGTTTCCTCGCAACTTCACAGAACCTATCTGATCACAATATTTATTCCTAGTAACGTGAAATGGTATTGCAAGCACAGAAAATAGTTTAATCTCGGCTTTGACGACCGAGTCAGCTGTACTTACTGCTTCTCTGATAGCCTTTTAGGAGTGTAAGAATATATGTAGCACAGAAAGCTCACTCACAAGTTTGCCAGGTGAGGTAGAAGACTTGAACTCTTCCGAGTAAACCATTTCTTCGTTAGCTGTACTCTGATCTGGGCTTTCTGGCTGTCCACGGCCCACAGTTTCTGACGGGACAGACTCAGCAGGTAGACTGCCAAGATCTTCTGGGATAGAGCTTTCGCTGTTCACGTGAGAGCAAGAACGCACCGGAGACTCTTCTTCACTAGCTGTTTCTGAGATCACACAACGAGAGAAAAAACCAAAGTTCCTAAGAACTTGCACTGACTTACATGCCTGCAAAGCTACTGCTGCCTGCGTACGAAGTCGTAACTGCCACCAATACATGGCAAATGGATGTTATTTCACTCACCTAGACACAAGGATGGACTGTTTAGCAAGAACAAGCCTGTTTATCAGAGAACTACGATTTAAGACTGCCAAAAGCTCTTAGTGACTGCTGAAGGTCTAAAATAAAGGTTTTTTTCAGGATATTCTAACATTTTCCAGACAACACACTCCAAAAAGATTATTAGGAAAACCTGTCCTTCCAGTTGACCGTACACCAGCAAGAGTCACTATTAGTCTGAAGAAGTCATGGAGGAGCATATAATCTGCAAGCCAGATCTTGAATTGAGAAGTGACTGCTTCCTTTACAGTAGCTGCAGAAAATATTTTAATGTTATGATTTCATCATGAGTCTCTCAACTGGCAACAGGTAAAATAATAAGTTGGGTTTTCAATATTCCTGTTTACTAAATTCCGCAGGAGTCATGGCATTACTGAGGCACCCGTGGGGAACTATTCAATATTTGAGCAAAGGCTGAGGAGAGGAACGTCTTCTGAAGCACGGCTGTGCTCCAATTCGTATTGGTAGACACAACTAATAGAAAGCAAGTGCATTTTCTCATTTGTTGATGAGAATTCATCATTCATGTTGAACTTCTGTCCACTGGAACTTATTGATTCATACACATATCATCTTTAAAATGCCTAAACCCCACTGCTTTCAGTAGCAAGTGTAACAGGGCATAATTCTGAATTCCCCTTCCACATTCAAAGGACATGCTGCCTGCTTTCAGCAAAGTGGAAAAAAAAGGGAAAATTTATTATTTCTAGAACAATTCCTGAAGTTTCATTATTTTCTCCCAATCTAGTTCTCTCTGCTTCATGCTGAAAGTATGGTCCGCTTAAAACAGAACATCCTAAGACAGAACATAGCTCCCAAAACCTGGGAACTTATTCTTCCTCACCATAGCATCATTTATACTAATTAGATCCTGGCATACTTCAGCCTAGTTGCACTTTTCAAGCAGTTATACTGCATTAAAAACTGAGGGAAGAAAAAATGCTTTCAATTTTCAAAAAACACAAGACAAGGCGAAAATAGCCCCCGGCAAGAGCCATCCTCACCAGCAGTAACAAGGCTAACAGGATAGACACTTTGAGCACTACAGGGGGAAATAGTTTTACTAGAGGAGGTGCAGAAAAACTCAGCAAAAGATCACGCAATATTTTTGTTTTGAAAGACAGAAATACGGTTTAAATTATATGCAGAAATATCTGATGGGTCTCTGCTTCCCTGTTCACTTGACAAGATGTACAACAAAGGAGGAGCAGAGATTTAAGTAAGTGGTAAAACAGGCAGTGAAGAGTGCAGAAATCAAGATTCTCAGAGTGACCAGAGAAGAACAACCACCACCAAAACACCGAAAGAGGAAGAGAGTGCAAATCTAAGCAACCACTGTGTCAAATTATGCCTTACTCTTGTTATTTGCATCACCTCCCCTCTCTTCCTATTACCTTTGGGCTCAGTCCTCTGATCCCCCAGGTCTTTCTTGGCTGTTTTGGTTTTGAGCAGCTCTTTGTCCCAGGCAGCTAGAGCCTGCTTTTCTATCCGTCGTATTTCTGCTTCCTCTGCATCCAGGCGGCGTTTCCACTCCAACAATTCTTCAGCGTGTTGTCGACGCTGCATCAGCTTCTGTTCTCGCTTAGTTAGGAACCTGACAGACAGAGCAGAAGACAATGGGAAAAGAGCCAGCCACGCTCCAAGGTCCCAATACCCAGACGCTCTACGGCCACAATCCCCAGAACTATAGCTGTTTAAATGGTTTTCTAGGATAATATCCGCACTAACAATCTCCTAGGCTTCTGACGTGCTGCTGAAAAGCCTCCATAAGTAGACTTTTTGGTTTCTTCGCAGTAGGGCTACAAACATGCTGTAAACATGCTCCTTACATTTTAAAGATCTCCAAAAATCACTGTAAGTGCTACTACCTATTCACTGAAATGAATAGGACAAGTTCCCAATATCAGGACATAAAAAGTACCTGTGGTATTGAACTGGAACCCTCAAGAAAGAGTGATTTTTTCATAAATGGACCTTTCTTTTTGCTAATCCAAATGATGGGGAAAAAAATGTAATCCCAATTGGCTCATGTCTTGGGTTACAATATGTAACCAAAAATGTGTAATTCTATTTTCATCTGTTGAAACCGCCTGGAAGATTTTTCCTTTCATTTCTTGTTAACTCCAGGGGCAGGTGCTTTTGTTAGTGGGTAATCCTGGGTTAACGATGGGTAGCTTGGTGGTAGCCGCCCCCAGCCCGCCGGAACTTTGTGGGGGGAGGGGTAGCCGCGCG